GGTGTTGATTGACCTACTCAACTGTCCTTAGTTGTGTGGCTTAGTTAGCATGCAAAAACCGGCAGCTCTCATTGGGTCCTGAGGCTCACATGACGAGACCGCGACCAAAACATGCAAGTCACGATTTGTAATTCTCAAGCTCCTGTCTTCAGGCAGCCTGCTTGATCTTATCTAGCCTGTCACACACTGTGGACTGTGACACAAGGCAAAGCCAGGTTACTCGACTGCCCCCCGCCTGCTTGAGTATACAGAGAAAGTCAATATGCTTCTCTTCATGAAAGGAAACATATCCACAGGCCCCTGTCCTTTTAAAAGTCACTCTATTCTGGGCCAGCCACCTATGGATGATTAATTAAGGTCACTGTACTGCCTCACAGCCCCGTCAAACACAGCAAGGGATTACAAGACGAAAAACCTGGTGTGATATTTTATACGGTGACAGTCTGTAGATCAGGAAGTCAATGGATAGTCTAACCTTCTAATTAGCTAAGCATCACTGCATATTGACCGACTATTATTTAGGGAACACAATCATTTTTTTAACAAGTTCATTTTTCAGAGCCACGGTGTTTACACCTTTCTGAAATCAGCCTTTGATTTGACTTACTTATAGTTGGAGAAAGTATCTATCATTAAAAAATTACACTTCACACTGTAAAACATGATTTTTCGAAGTTGTAAATAGATTATTATCACTTATTTTCTGAATGTTATCATCATCCATAAGTTTTGTATTTCATATTGCTTGATTCTGCTTTGCTGTATGCTGCCCTGTCTATATATATATATATATATATATATATATATATAAATTAAACTTATTATTATTAATAATATAGAAATAATCAACTTTATTTTGTATAGCGCCTTTAAAAATACCATCTCAACGCGTTATTAAAATTATTTTTAGAGTATTTTTTTACAAGAAAATATGGTAATGCTTTAAATTTTTCCTGTACAAAAGTGTGTTTTCAGTGTGGATGGAAGATCAAATTGTAGTGGTGAAACACAAAAGATGTGTTTTAAATTATTAGTGCAGATGTAGCCTAAGTATCATTAACAAACAGTTATTTGTATTGATGAGATGAAGCCAGTGAAGGTGGCTTGAGCTGAAGACAGTGAGTATGTTTACATGGACAACGATAATCAGATTTTAACATGATTAAGACAATACTCTGATTAAGAATCTACCATGTAAACAGAGATTTTTGATTACCTTAATCCGGCTAAAGTCATATTCGAAGTAAACAGAAATCGAATTAAGGCATGTGGAGTACTCCTATTTTAGTCGCATTACTGAAGTGCAGTACAGAGTGCATGATTGCTCATTGTTTCTTGTCTTTGTGATGAATGAGGTTATAAAAGCAACAAAGAGCTGATGTTAGAGATGTAATTTTACTCTGCAAGATTTGCATACACGCAATACACTCACCTGTGTTTTGCCTGACTACAACAAATATCTATGAATTTTTCCTGTGCATTTCAAATCAGACTGACAATATAATTCAGTGTATAATTCAATTAAATAAGTGTAGATGTACTAGTAATAAAGGATGTCTAAGTCACATTATTAAAAGAATAGTATGAATTCTGTATGCCGATTGGTAAATATACACCCTTATAAATAAAGGTGCTTCACGATGCCATAGAAGAACCTTTTTGTCTAAATGGTTCCATAAAGAACCTTTAACATCTGAAGAACCTTTCTGTTTCACAAAAGGTTCTTTGTGGCTAAAGAAGGTTCTTCAGATTATAAAAAGGTAAGAAAGAGATGGTTCTTTAAAGAACCTTTGACTGAATGGTTCTTCTATGGCATCGCTGTGAAGAACCTTTTAAGCACCTTTATTTTTAAGTGTACACTGACAAAAGTACAACTTTAGAAAATAATTTTTGCAGTGATATCAGCTGCACTAAAATACAATCTGTATTTACAATGTATCAAAACCTATTTTTCTGCCTTATTGCTTAAATCTAAATAACATTTGATAAATATTATATATTTAAATTTAAATCTTGATATTGGACCAAACTTTCGCACAGCTTTATCCACAAAAATGATTACTTGCGAAACACAACAGGGATCAAAATCAGAGGGGACTGATTGAGCTCCCCGTCTGCTGATTGTCACTGCCTCGGTCATCAATTATTCAGCACAATCTGCTCGTGCTGACAGACTGTCACCGGACAGAGCGGGACTTCAGAATATCCACAGCTCTGTTGGCCCAACATCCAAAGCTTGTTAAAAGAGCCCGTTTTTGTTGTTGAAGCCAAAGCTATCAGAACTATTTAACGCAATATACCAAAGCAAACTAAACTGCAGTTGGTTATGTAAACATTATTTAGTCTTACTCTGTAAAACAATTCCAGAAAGAGGCTGTGGTTCTGAGTAAAACTAAGTCTTTATAACATAACCACTAATCTAGATGATTTTACAGTAAGTACCTTTGAGAGTCATAACCTTCTGCAGTCAGCTCTAGTAGGCTGTGACCCTGCAAAGTGTGAGCGATTTGTCTAGACAGTTTCAATGACGAAAAGTGAACACATCATCCATTAAGCAAGTATGCTATTCCCTACAGGCACAAAGATATCATGCTCTCATATATACAGTATATCATATAACAGGGCTGTCTAAACTCGGTCCTGGAGGGCTGGTGTCCTGCAGAGTTTAGCTCCAACTTGCCTCAACACACCTGACTGGAAGTTTCTATGCCTAGTAAGAGCTTGATTAGCTGGTTCAGGTGTGTTAATTAGGGTTGGAGCTAAACTCTGCAGGACACCAGCCCTCCAGGACAGAGTTTGGACAGCCCTGATATAACACATATATTATATGTATACATACACACACATACATATAAATATAAATATATAGAGAGAGAGAGACACTTTGACCTGACTATGTTTTGCTTAATTGCTAATGTGACCTTTTTACACCACAGACTGGACAAAATTAAGCATTGCTTGGTAATTGGTTGACTTAAAATTGGTATTATCTAAGGCCATGTCCACACGTACACAGGTACGTTTTTCCTTCTTCCGTTTAAAAAAAAATCTCCGTCCACATGAAAACGCAAACGCATGCTATGAAGCACTGTCAAGAGCATGCCAAACCAACAGGTGGCGATATAATCTCAACCATAAAGCCATGTTGGCCAATCAGAAGCCTGAAAAAGTCTCCAGTAGGCGGAGATAACAGCGCAGGCTCCGACGTCACAAGCCAAAAACTCCGGTTTCGCGGTCTACACGATAACACTGCAACCGGGGTTTTTGAAAATCTTCACCCTGGCAGGCGTTTTCAAAAATGATCGGTTTCAGTGACCTGGTGCTGCATTTGCGTGTGGACGAACGTGGACGAACACGTAGAAAAAGCTGCGGTTTTAAAAAATAACCGCGTTCGTGTGGACAGGGCCTAATTGTGTACTTACATTTTACAGCTGAATCATTTTTGGTTGATTGTAATCCATTACATAGCTTTCTATCAAAGTTATCTGACATTATCAAGATGAATTTGTTCTGACACAGTTTAACTCTTGAGTTCTTGTCATATTTTATTACCGTTTTATAAACTATAGGCGAATAAACTATGATATAATGTGAGAAATGTCTTAATAAATTTTGGTTTGACTATGTATGTATATTCGTCCAAAAATTAAAATAAATATGTTAGTCAATTTGACAAGAACAAAACATGGCTTCTCATAAAAAGCTTACTTATTTAAGAAACCTAACAATTTTGACACAGAGTCACAAAGGTTTACAGGGGTCATCTTTGATTCATGCTGGATTTTCTCAACACATGACAACAAAATGGCTTCCTGCATTTTGGTTACGCCACACTGTCTGACAGAAGTTTTTCAAATATTAATATTTTAAAACAACATTGGTTTACTGCATAATTTAAAAGAAATAAAAGATTATCCCAATTTTTTAATGGTAGATATTTTTAAACACATGTACATTCAGCCCCAAAATTGTCTAATATTCTAAATGAATTTTAGCAACACCTGATAGCACATGTTGTTTTGCATTTTGGTTACGCCACACTGTCTTTTGGCGGACAGAAGTTTTTCAAATATTAATATTTTAAAACAACATTGGTTTACTGCATAATTTAAAAGAAATAAAAGATTATCCCAATTTTTTAATGGTAGATATTTTTAAACACATGTACATTCAGCCCCAAAATTGTCTAATATTCTAAATGAATTTTAGCAACACCTGATAGCACATGTTGTTTGAAGGTGACGATTTGTGATGCATCATCAGCTGTGACGTCATTCTTCTCTTCGAAGGTCAAATCAGTGAAAATAAAATGTGGCAGACGCAGCATAGAAACTCTTTGGATTATGTGTTATGTGTTCCGCGCCAAGCACCCATGGCCACTGTTTGTGTTGCCTTCTTTCAAAGAACTAAACCGAACCGTAACAGTTGTGTTACAGTTTAAACCCCTGCTTTAGTAAAAAAATTAAATAAAAATACGCTCAGTGCGCTACACGACCAACTCTGACTTTCCAAATCCAAAAAATAATAATCCCTTTTAAACTATACGACATGCAGCAACAACTTTTACTTCTACTTTATTCACTGTTTGTGTTGCCTTCTTTCAAAGAACTAAACCGAACCGTAACAGTTGTGTTACAGTTTAAACCCCTGCTTTAGTAAAAAAAATTAAATAAAAATACGCTCAGTGCGCTACACGACCAACTCTGACTTTCCAAATCCAAAAAATAATAATCCCTTTTAAACTATACGACATGCAGCAACAACTTTTACTTCTACTTTATTCCTCGTTAAAAGGAAAAAAAAAACGTATACTCTAATAAATAACAAAAACATAAACGTTTAACATACCGCCTCCTATATAAAACACAGTCAGCGAGTAAAGAAATGAAAAGCGCGACTCTTACGTCTTCATCCTCGCAGGCGTTTCTCTTGCGGTACTGGACTCGCCTCCTATATAAAACACAGTCAGCGAGTAAAGAAATGAAAAGCGCGACTCTTACGTCTTCGTCCTCGCAGGCGTTTCTCTTGCGGTACTGGACCGGGGGTCGGGATGAGGGGTGATGAGGACTCTTCCCAGCCTTATTCTCCTCCTCGGGAACCTGTCCACCCAGGAGATGACTGGCTTCAGGTGGATGGGGAAAAGATTTGTTGGTGCTAATCTTCCCCGTGAATCTCTGGTAAAGCGAAGCCATGAGTCCGGTGAAACCACTAAAGCATCTCCAAGCGCGGAATCTCTCCTCAGCTGCTCTTCTCGGATGTGCTTTATTTTAATGTCCCTCTCCCGCAGAAGGTAAACGGTCTTCTTCTTGAATAGCTCAGAGCCTGATGTCCTCCGAAGGAAGGCAGTAAGATGAAGCCTTTAATTGAAATGAATCTCTAATGCGCTCCGTTGGAGTAATTTCTCTATTTTAATGGCTTTGACTGGAGCCTGCGCGGCACTAGAGAAAGTCTGCTCTGCATTCAAAGCACGTTGTTTCCTCTATAGCCCGCCTGCAGAAAAGCGTCTCCACAGCAGCCTGTATTAAACTGCACTCTGTCACCGGATTTAACAAACAGAGCTTACATCTCACTGCATTTCAGGAATGAGGCGAGCGATGGAAAGACAGCAGTGTGAGCTTTACGCAGAGCAGTGTGTGTGTGGATGAGACGCGTTCTGCATGAGAAGTGACCACTGACAGGATATTTATCTGAAGAACACACACACTCAAACACCACGCACAGCCCTCAAATCTCACATTCATTAAAATAAAGAGCAATAAAACCGACCGAAACTTAGACTCTGTATCATCCCATCAACTGATGGATTTTTACAAATGTTCAGTATTAAGCAATAACCTTTCTCTTTTACTTCTAAACAATGCTGGAAAGGTCATATGCGCAGTACTGGAGTGCCACACTGTGGTAAAATGATATACAACAGCTCAGACTGCGACAATGTCATCCATTAAACTACCAAAAAGAAGCTATTTTAATTACACAAAATCGATTGAAAATGGTGCAATTGTTTGGGAATTTAATATTTATGATCCCTACGCGTTTAGCACCCTGACTGCAACAACACACGAACATCTACTTAACTGTTAATGTGAGGCTTAATTTCCCGCCAAATATGCTCGATATAGTTGTAGCACAATTAACGTTCTAGTAATGTTCTATTAAAGTAGTTATTTAAACAAATGAATAGTTATACTAGACTAGCTACTCTTAATGAAAAAAAGAAGAACCTTGAAATCTGAGAGGTTTATTTCCAACACACTTTCAGTTTAAGCAATTAATCTGTCAGTTAAGGCATTTCCTACAAACCACAAACTGTGTCAGTGCTGAGATTTACGATATTAATATTTGGGTCATTCTTCTTATGCTGTAGCCAACCTCTTGAGCTCGGTAACTTACATTAATAAGGCTGTGTTGTAATTTGACTGTGTTGGGAAGCATTTCTATAAAAAGGATGGAAATTAAGAGTTAAAGTTAGCCACTGCAGTGTGTGACTGACAGTTACAGTAGCATACATGAAGGTGTCAAGTGATTTTGGTA